TTCTCCTCCTCTTTGATATTTTAAAAAATCTAAAAACAATATTTTACAATTACTACGATGGAGAAGGAAACTACGTTGGCTACCATCAAGTTGATGAATTAAGATTTGGTGCGCTTGAATAGGTTGGATGGATCAAACTTCATATGATGGCAAGATAAACTTAAATTCCTTTTACCAGCATTAATATCTACTATGTGCTTGATTCAAACTTGGAACCAGTTGCTGATATAATCGAAGAAGACAGAGAAGAAGTTCGTATCGAGAAAAAGAATAGGCAAGATGATGATTGATATGTTGCGGTCACATCCCATATGCTGTTTTGAATCTATTGTACGATCTCTACACTAACACCACTTCGACAAAGGAAATATTGGATGTACTTGAAAGCAAATATACGGTCGAGGAGGAAGGTACTAAGAAATTTCTTATATCTAAATACTTTGATTTGAAAATGTTAGATAATATTCTTTTGTTGCCTCAAAGTACATGAATTACAAGTCATTGTTAACAAATTAAAAGTCGTGAAAATCGATATTCCCGAATCTTTTCAAGTGGGAGCAATTATTGCTAAACTCTCGGGGACTTGGAAATGATATAGGAAAATATTATTCACAATTCCAAAGACTTTGTATGGAACACATTAAAAAACATCTTTGCATAGAGGAAAAATCAAGAGCAAGAGATAAGACTGAAAGTTCTTTTGACGTCTCTTCAAAAGCCAATGATGTGGACAGTGTGGATAACTAAAAGTCCAAAGGACGTTACTACGTTTGTGGAAAACCGGGGTACTATGAAAGGAATTGCAGGAGGGTTGGTGGTATGATACTTGCGCAACCATCCATAGGTTTTTCCTGGAAAAATCAGGAATCAAATCTGTATTTTGACTATAATGGGTATTTTGTTGGAAATGACTATTAGGAATGGTAAAACTTTATACTTCTGAGAATAATTCTAATAAAAACAAATCTTATTCTTATGTTATTGATTCATTTAATTTATGGCATGGTAGATTAGCACACATAGGAATTAGCACTATGAATAGAATGGTTACATGTGGATTAATACAATGAAGTTGATAACTTAAAATTTTTTGAAACATGTATTAAATTAGAGATAATTTAAAAGTCATTTTATAGTGTAGAAAGAAAATCTCAATTACTCGAACTTGTGCATTCCGGTATATGTGATTTGAATGGCATGTTAACAAGAGGAGGTAATATATATTTCATTACATTCATTGATGATTGTTCTAGATATATTTATGTTTACCTTTTAAAACATAAAGATGAAGCATTCAATGCATTTAAGGTATATAAAGTAGAAGTTAAAAATCAATTAGAAAGAAAAATAAAGACTCTAAGAAGTGATAAAGGTGGATAATACTTATCTAATGAATTCAATATGTTTTGTTAACAAAATGGAATAATACATCAATACTTAGCACCACGAACACTTGAACAAAATGGTCTAGCGGAAAGAAAGAA